TTCATTTCTTACTTCTTGTTACTTCTACTCTCAAGAAATATTTTAACTAACCTAAGTTTTTAGTGTGAAACTTGATATGTGAGAATGATTTGAGAGAGAATATTCCTCCACCGTCATCTTATATAATGACAATATCATCAACATAGACAATAAGAAGTATAAGATCAATTGTTGACCGTCTATAAAATACTGAGTGATCACACGTGCTCTTCTTCAACCTGAATTCCAAAGCTACTTCACTAAATTTGCCAAACCACGCACAAGAACTCTGCTTCAAAGCATACAAATTTTTTTTCAAATGATAGACTTTCTTATACTCTCCCTGAACAACAAATACAGGGGGTTGTTTCATATACACTTCTTCTAGAAATTCGCCATGAAGGAATACATTCTTGATATCCAACTGATGTAAGGGCCAATTTTGAGATGGTACAATGGAGATGAATAAAAGGATAGATGTAAGTTTTGCCACTGGAAAGAATGTATCAGAATAATCAACCCCATAATTGAGCATAGTCTTTTACTACAAGTTGGACTTTAAGTCTAGCCACTAAACCATCTGAGTTTACATTGACTAAAAAGACCCATTTGCACCCCACAATCATTTTTTCGTTGGGTAAATCCACCAAATTCCAAATATGATTTTCGTCAAGAGCATTTATCTTCTCAAGTATTGTATTATTCCAATCAGAATGATTCAAAGTTTTTTTAATTATCCTTAGTATGGAAATTGAATTTATAGAAGTAATGAAAGAAGTAGACGAGAGGGATAGCTAGTCATATGAAACATAATTAGCAATTGGATAAATTGGCTGAAGAATGATGCACTAATGTTTACCTTTACGAAGACTAATGGGAAGATCAAGGTCTTGTGAGGCAGAATCATATGACGATGGATCTGGTACAGGACATGTATCACGAGTCTGTTGTCTTCTGAAATAAATACGAACAATTGGTGGTGGTACTTGGGTCAGAGGCACGCTAACACTATCATCAACTTGCTCAAGTAGGAGTGGAGCCACATCATCTAGAAAAATACTATTATTTGTTTGTTTTGTAGAAATATCTGGTATCGAACTATAAATGAGTCACTCATTGTCCGCCTCCTTACTTGTATAGACATGGACAGTGTCGAGAAGAATGGTGTATTCTCTGAAAAAAATACATCAGTTGATGCCAAATATTTATTGAGATATGGAGAGTAGCATTGGTATCATTTCTGAATGTGATAATATCCCAAAAATACACATTTTAAGGACTTTGGATCCAATTTTGTCATACTAGGTCGTACATCTCGAACATAATAGGTGCTACCAAATATCTTAGGTTGCACTGAAAATAAAGATTTGTTTGGAAAATGAAGACTGTAAGGAGCATCTCCGTCAAGTACTGTATATGACATACGATTAATCAAGAACCATGCTGTGAAAACAGTATCAAATCTAGAATCGCTTAAGGACTTGCATTTGGAACAAGAAGTCTCGAACTGTTTCAAGTAAATACCTGTTCTTTCTCTCAACAACTCCATTTTGAGATGATGTATCATACACGAGGATTGGTAAAGGATCCCATGTTGAGTCATATAGTTTTGAAATGAGTCTGATATATATTTCTTGACATTATCACTTCTCAATATATGTACAAAAATATTGAATTGTGTCTTGATTTCAACACAAAAAGTACAAAAGTGAGAGAATACTTTAGAACAATTTTTAATAAAATATATATAAATCATTCGAGAAAAATCATTCTCAAAGGTAACAAAACTTAAAACCTGTTTTAAACGGAATGGGACAGTGGTCTCAAACATCATAATGAACTAACTTAAAAGTAGATTCAGTTCGTCTATTGACTCTTGGACTTGACAGACTACGATAATGTTTTGCGAACCGATATGACTCGCAATATAGTAAAGGTATATCATGGTAATGAGTACATAATTTTTTTAACACAGGTAGAGAGAGATGTTCTAATGGACCATGTGCTTCAAATGGAGAGATAATACTAGAGCAAACAATTGATCGAGACACCTAGGTATTAAGAATGTAGAGACCATCTGATATATTTTTTTTTACCAATAATCTGTTTCATCGTAAGATCTTGAATAACACAGTAATCAGAAAAAAATGTAATACAACAATTAAAATCTTTAGTTAACTTACTCACAGAAATCAGATTAAAAGTAATTTTTGGTAAACTTAATGCAGATGACAGGGTAATAGATGAAGTTAGTTTTGTAGTCCTGGAATCCACAATGGTATAGGTCGACCCATCAACAATAGTTACAGGAAAAGGTGCTTTGCGTGGTCGAAACTAGAAAAAATATTAAGATTACCCATCATGTGATCTATAGCACCAGAATCAATCACCCATCTGCTTGAGGAGGAGAAAATTTCTAATACTAAGTGAATTTAGTATACTCGTCAACTGAAATCATAACAATTCTCTCAGAAGACGAAGTAGTAGCAGCAACAACAATAATATTAGTGATCCATATCATGCGATTTTGCAATTTCTTACAGTACTTTTTTATATACTCTTGTTCACGGCAGTAATAGCAGACAATATCTACTTCAATTCAGGAATTATAAGAAATATGTCACTCAGAATACTCAAAACACAACAGTCAGAGATACCCGAAAAATGTTGTAAATAAACCAAAAATTCTGAAAAAACATAATATCTCTTCACGCGCAGAAACCAAGACAACAACATTGCCACCATCGGGAGTTCATGCGCCGTTGCCGGAGTTCACGTGCTGCTGCCGGGAAGCCACACGCTGCTGCCGGAAATCACCAAAATTCCTCCTTTCGGGCAGAAATCACCACAGAAGCCCAATGCACACCTAATTCGAAATGGCACTCGCATAAATGCCCTAAATCGTGTTTGGAAAGCAGAGAATCATTTGCTGTCGCGCGATCTCCTTCGCTGCAGCTTTTCCTTCTTCGGCCTTCTAATTTCATGCACAGAACTGGCTGACTGAGCTCCTCTGTGGCTTCTTTCCTTGAACAGGAAACAAATACGCACGAGAATGACCTCCTCTGTCAAACCCAACGCACGCAGCCATAATCCGTCGCGCAAACTGTCTCCTCAGCTTCTCCCGCGTACACCAAAGTGCTGGCCGTACTCTAAACTGGCTAGAGATTGGTAGTTGTCTTTATCCGGCACCGGGAATGGGTTGTTCAACCCTTCTTTTAGTCTGATGTAATTTTGACCCTTGAAACCTTAACCCTAGCCCTAACTCTGATATTATGTAAGAATTAGGGAAAGGAATTTTAAATATTTACTTATCTTTCATTACATAGAGTTAGGGATATATATACATAGAAGAAGGATCTATATATATAAACATAAATCACCCTATTAATGTTAGGAAATCAATTAATAATTATATAAAAATATTCCGTAATATATTTTGTAATATTCTAACATCCAACAATATTCTTATACTTCGTGTCACATTTATACAATGCTGAGCAGATGTTCAAATATGGGGTTGTCCGGATGCACGACTTGGTTCAGGATGTACTGAACTGGAAGCGGTTCTACTTGAGTGGTCGTTTACAAAAGCCGGTACAAGTCGTTCTCATCTCAATTTGCTTTTTTTCAGTTCTCTTGGATGTATGTCTTGTCTCTTTGTCTTGGAAACTTATGAGCATGATGATATCTTCCTGATGGCAGAAACTCCATTATCCAACAAATTGCCCAACAATAGTTTTGATCCCTTGTTTGTTTCGTAGTAGAGTATTTGATTGTCAAATTATTTTCTTGTTTATTTTTAATCAAAAAAGGAAAAAGAAACAGAAAGGGAAATCAAGACCTTGCAGAGAAAGTGAGAAACATCAGCTTGTATGTTGTATTTATAGAAGTGAAAAATTTCCCATTGTTTATCTTCTTCACTCACATCTCTTCACTCTAAACTCTAAACTCTCTTGCCATGGGTTTGGTAGATTCACAGAACAGCTTTTGCCCTTAAGGATTGATCTTTGTCAATGCAAATTTACAGACTGTTTCATTTATCTTGTTCACAAATAAATCTCTAGGTGAAATTGTTTTCAACACAGGTGCATATACTTGTGGATAATTTGGACATAGAGAATGTAAATTCTGTTAATTTGCGAGGTGCAGTATCTGCTGCTCTCCTCCTTTTGCCTTCAAAATTTTCTGAGGTTAGTTTGCTTGCTACTGCATAGACATTTTATGATTACCAGAAAACACACCAACACATTTATGCAGGCAGATCTCTATGCCAAAATATGTAGCCTTTCATACATGGGTGACTTGCGGATGCTTTTTGCAGAGGATAGAAATAAGGTAAGATCTTATCATTGCTAACATTGTGACATTTATGCATGGGGAAAAACCACTTGTAGCTTCTGTTATGATTACATGCTTTAGAATCGGCTGATGCTTCTAAATAAGTGATGTAATCTAAGTTTGGTCTCAATTTAGTGAGATTTTGAGTGCCCAGCCTATCTCGTGTAGTAATTCGGGACTGCTTTGCCATTTCTCCTCTTCCTTTTTAGGGAACCATTCTTGTTAGTTACTGTAGCTTCCGAACATTGATTATGACCCATTAACATGACCCAAGCAGTATGGTGGCTTGTGAGAAATTCTGTTTTCTTGTCAGGAAAAAATGTCAGAATCAGTGAAGATATTCTTGTGGAAAGTAATATGCGAAAAATATTGCTGCAAGAATAGCTTTCTTTAGGTCTAAGGATGATGTTCATTCAACATACACCTTCTATTGCATCTCTTCGTTGCACTAAGAATATCACATTGATGGCCTTATCTGTGACTTATATTACATCTGTTCCATTCTTTCTTCGCCGAAGAAACTCAAATTGTCAGAATTTTAATTTCACTCCCCTCTTAACTTTGTAAAGGAAAAATGTAAGCAATAAGAAAGAACTTTTTTAGTTCTCAGAAAGTTTCTCTTGTTCATGTGCGCTATCTGCTACAGGTAAAGAAGATTGTGCAGGGACAGTTTGATTTATTCCACTTGATGTACAAACCATTTCTTGACGATTGCAAGGCTAAACATCTTTTGAGGTTTTCGTCAGATGGAAATAGCAAAGAAAATATACATCAGGTACGTATTGGCAGTCAAGTTCTTTATACAGAGCCTAGAAATTTCCTCTGAAACTGCTGTGCAATATAATTCAATTACTTGTACCAAATCAGGTTGTGACAAGGCAAATCCAACATGTTTTGGAATGTCCTTTTGTTTTGATTATATGAAACATATTTTCTGTAAACATGCATGGAAGCCTAGTCTCGCAGAAATTGAGCATGTCAGCTATTTCTTTATAGGGTTTTGGCTTTTAGCCTCATTCATGATTTTGACTTCTAGCCTAAATGGAGATTATCTTTTCAAGAAAGGAAGTTGTTTATAGGGATCTTGTTTTCAATAAGAAAATGTCATTCTCTAGGCACTATTTTATTAATATTGGATAGATATGTATTGTTCTGAGCCCCAGCTCAGTACTCCTTTCTGTCAAGGTGAAATTAATGGTGGCGAAGCAATTCTCTTGTGGCATGTACTTCATGGACAGAGAGTTTTGTTCATATGTTAAGCTAATTATCATTTTTTCATGCGACTGCTTGAGGCAACTTTGTTTTTTCAAAGTTTGGATTTCTTGTAAGTGTAAGATATTTTTCTGTCTAAATAAATCAGGACTGCAGTTTATCAGTGACTCGCTCTCTGGTTTCTTCTCTTCCTTCAACAGTTAGAAGAAGAATGGGAATGAAGCTAGGAGAAAAGAAAATACTGACTGAATCTGGTATGAAATTCAATATTTATGCAATTTCCTTTCTTTGTAATAACAAAAAAGAATTGAAGAATGGTTGCTGAAGCCTTATATTTCAAATACTTGCACCAAGTGCCAGAAGCTCACAACAAAAAATATTCAACGAGACCTCTATTGATTTACCTCTCTGAACCAGGGAATTTTAGAGTTTCATGTAAGCCTGATATAAGTTATGGTGCTAGTGATGTTTGCGTACCTAAGATGTTTGTGAACTGCAGGTCGAGTTTTGCAGGAAGTTATGATTCCCTCAAGAGAAGAAGTTGCAAAATGCATGCAGCACATTATGAAGCGAACTGTTATGGTTTCAAGTGCGAGGCAGGCAGTATCTGGTTTTGTGGCTGCAGGTTGTGTTAATGCCGCTAGGTATCTGGGCAACAAAATGCGCAAGGCGTGGAAATCCCGGTAATGATACTGTATATTGCATTCCTTCCCTGCTCCGGTGATTTTCAAGTGGTTAAGATGGGGAAGTTGGAGGCGCAGTTTGTTATTTACTCATAGTTATTGAGATTTTACGAGAGGGAGTGAAATTTTGATGAGAAGTTTTGTACTGACACAGTTCAAGATATTGTACTAACTAAAATACTGAGCATAGAACATTTTGTCAGACCCCTTAGGCTGAATAAGCTACCCAAGATTCAAGAATTCTTTAGCAAAAAGGTACTGGAAAACCAAAAAGAAAAAAAAAAAGAATGAATAAATGAACGCATAAAATCAAACGTTCGTCGATATATTAGTTGATATGTTTTTTTTTTTTAAAAAAGTGAAATTATAGGTTCGAGATATATTGTGCACACCTAAAGCTTTATTTTTTTTGTATGGCACAACTTTTGCCTCAAGTATCCAAATCAAACTGGAAGTAGGATGTTTGCAGAAATAGACGAAATATTTTGATTTATGTACTTTTAATTTTTGAAGAAATTTTTAAGCCTCAGTCTTCAAGTGATTGATCCTGTGGTTCCTTTAAGATGTTTACTTATTTATTCTTTTTCATTGTGAAGTCATAACCATATAGCATGGGTTGTAATTCTGAAGATTTACAAAATTCCAAATTCAATTAAAATTCTTACATTATGACATGGAAGCATGAATACAATGTAAAAAACAGAGATGGTTATATAATTTTTGAAGTAAATTTTATATTTAATTAAGGTATGTGTTATTCCAACTACTTTATTTATTGGTGAAAATGTAAATTTATGATTGTAGAATTAAAAATATGAAAATTTGATTTAATTATGTATAGAATATGTTGTATTTAAAATTAAATAAAAATAAAATAAATATTGATGTGGATATGACGGGGATCTTCTGCATTTTTAGCTGGTTTCGTTTCTGCCCCTTGCATGTCTAGTCTAATGCACCATAATATACGAAACAGACATTAATTTTTCACGTACAAAATTGTGATATTAAACCAGAAACATACAAAAACTCAAATTTTTGAGGGAGAAAAATCATGGCAGCACGTAAAAAAAAAACTGATAAGAAAAATCACACTTTCAAATTTTCAAGTATCATAATTTGCACATACAGAGAAGGAAAATTAATCATAAATTTTAAACTTTGTTTGGTAGCATACCCTAATTTTCTCCCTGTCTTAAAATATAATTATTTTTCTAATATAATCAAGTTTTTGATTTTCCATGTTTCTAAGTTTATATTAATGGTTTTGAAAATCTAATAGAGAAAAACTATAAAAATAAAAAAAAATTGAAATTTTATTTCAAAATTGTATCATTAAAAGTTTATCTTATTATTAATTTGATAAATTTGAAATATTAAATTAATTAGCCTCCACCATTGAGTCATATTTTTACTCACTTTAATTTTTTGAATCCAGAATTTCTTTCAAAACAGAAAGACTAACGTATATTTATTTAACCTCTGATCTTGATTTCTTTAAAAAAAAAAAAAAAAAAAAAAAAAAACAGAAAGCTTAAAAGGGGTGCCTAAAAAAATGCAACCAAACAATTGGTGAACATTCTCCCACTTAGTTTTTTGCTAGAAATTAGTAACATTTTGTCATTTCTATCAATAGAAAAAGGACAGGAGGAAGGGCAAATGGGTAATGTTCAACATTTCTGACCTCACCAACTCCGTGAAAAAGACAAGGCTCTTCTTTTGTCTCAATCTTTAAGCCAACCAGCTTGCAGGAAGACTTAGAACTTGACCTCTGCACCTCCATTCTTCAATAATTGTTGTGGATACACCACTACTGATACACCACTACTGAGACAACTTCTGCTCTTCACATTTTCAGCTATCCAAAACCAACAACTTTAGCAGAATGCAAGAAAATACCGTCATGGGTTCCATGGGGGAGCAAGGTGATGCCATCCAACAAGCAAGTTACTGGATATGGAACAAGAACGAATTCTTTCCCGAAGAATCTTTCCAAAACTGGAGTACCTACCGAACTGCACTGTCCCAGACATGTTTTCGCTTCAAGGATCGGCTCACAAGCCGATCTGATGATGCCAATGAGATAGAGCAACTCCGTAAGCAAAGCAAGAATGACATGAAACGTTGCCTTACCTGGTGGGATCTCGTCTGGTTTGGATTTGGCTCTGTCATAGGGGCAGGTATTTTTGTTCTCACTGGTCAAGAAGCCAACCGACATGCTGGACCAGCCATTGTCTTGTCATATGTTGCTTCTGGTGTTTCCGCAATGCTCTCTGTCTTCTGCTACACAGAATTTGCAGTTGAAATCCCAGTAGCAGGAGGCTCCTTTGCATACTTAAGAATTGAGCTAGGAGACTTTGTAGCGTTCATCACAGCAGGAAATATACTTCTGGAAAGCATTGTGGGAAGTGCAGCAGTTGCCAGAGCATGGACTTCTTATTTTGCCACTCTTTTAAATCGTCCTTCCAACTCATTACGCATCCATACAGATCTCAGTCATGGATTCAATCTTCTGGACCCAATAGCGGCTGTAGTCCTCATAATTGCAGCAACATTTGCAATGATTAGCACAAGAAAAACTTCGTATCTCAATTGGATAGCATCTGCCATCAATACCATGGTAATTTTGTTTGTCATAATTGCAGGGTTTGCCCATGCCGACACATCAAATTTGGCACCTTTCTTGCCTTATGGTAGTGGAGGAATCTTCCGAGCAGCTGCAGTTGTTTACTTTGCCTATGGAGGATTTGACAACATTGCTACTATGGCAGAAGAGACGAAAAACCCATCAAAAGACATACCATTAGGATTGGTGGGATCAATGTCAATCATTACGGTGATATATTGCTTGATGGCACTTACGCTCAGTATGATGCAGAAATACACAGACATTGATCCAAATGCAGCCTATTCTGTAGCATTTCAAAATGTGGGGATGAAATGGGCAAAGTATCTGGTAGCTCTTGGTGCCCTTAAGGGGATGACCACAGTTCTCCTGGTGGGGGCACTTGGACAGGCAAGGTATCTTACTCACATTGCACGAGCCCACATGATCCCACCATGGTTTGCCTTGGTCCATCCAAGGACTGGAACACCAATTAATGCAACACTCCTGATAGTCATTTCAAGTGCCCTAATTGCTTTCTTTTCAGGTCTTGATGCCTTGACAAGCTTGTTATCATTGAGCACACTGTTTATTTTCATGATGATGGCTGTTGCACTGCTTGTTAGGAGATACTATGTGAGAGAAACCACTCCAAGAGTTAACCTATTGAAGCTTGTTATATTTCTGCTCATTATAATTGCTTCTTCAATGGGTACTTCAGCTTACTGGGGACTAAGTCCTACGGGGTGGGTTGGATATGTCATAACTGTTCCTCTTTGGTTCTTGGGGACTTTAGGAATTTCTGTATTTCTTCCTCAGCAGAGAACACCAAAAGTTTGGGGCGTCCCATTAGTCCCATGGTTTCCATCCTTGTCAATTGCAGCAAATATCTTTCTCATGGGCTCTTTGGGGATCCAGGCTTTCATAAGGTTCGGAATATGCACTATTGTAATGTTGGTGTACTATATATTCTTTGGCCTACATGCAACTTATGATACAGCTCACCAGCAAGACAGATCAGAATGCCTGAAGGTTAAAAATGAAGATCAGATACACAATGAGCTGCCTTAGCTTTTCACAACCTTCTGATACTTTCTTACATACCTTGTTAGCTTTTTCCATATTTAAATGCCACAAGCATCTGGTTCGAGTAGTCTGTAACACAAGCAAATAAGCATTGATGTTACTGGAGCTGTCAAACAAAATTAATCCCCTTTTACTGTCCTAATTCG